CACAGCGTGTAGTCAGAGTATGGAATAGTCTTCCTGCTATTGTAGTGGAAGCTAAAACCATGGGTTCCTTTAAATCAGAGCTAGATAAGATTTTAACAACTCTGAGCTATTAGCTAAGTTCTCCCCAAACGAGCTTGATGGGCCGAATGGCCTCCTCTCGTTTGTAAATTTCTTATGTTCTTATGTTCTTATGTTCTAGGTGTGCAGTCAATCACAGGCAGCAAAAGCGAAGAAGGCAGAAATTCACTGCATTCAAAATTGAATCCAAAACCTAAAGCACCATCACAGAGCCCATTTCAAAACTGACAATTAAGATGTGCCAGCAATTGTCAAAACCTGTTTAACAGATCTTTGGTTTTACATTACAGATGAGAAAAAATGTATAAATAAAATTTTATAAATGGTAGACGAACCTGAAAAGCGAAAAAAATGCTTAGCAGTCCAACGGTTCCTTTACAAAACTAAAATTTACAACACCTTTTTAATTCAATGACATGTAGGTCTCGCAATAGCCCTAGTGTCAAAACCCATGAATGGGCAGAAAGGGGTGACTAATGATAAACAATTAAAATTCATACAGATCGCATGTCTCGTACTTCATTAGCGGAGTCCGTAAATTTTCACTCTTCAAATCTGGCCAACTGGCAACACTTTCTTATAAGAAACACAGGTCACGTACAACACGTACATACGCCCAACCAAACAAATGTGCACAAATAAATTCATACGTCAAAATATTAAACGTGCGACGATGAAAAAGGAGCGATGAGCAACAACTTTGCAATGGCTCCGACTAAACAAAGCTTAAATATCGTAGTTACTCACCGGTCCAAAATCTGTTGCATCACCACAGCACTCTGATCCGACATATTAGTCTTAAATACCAATGCACGGCCTGATAAGTTCCCAATTAAAGCAGCTACCGTTGTTGAGTACAAAGCTAAGTTAAGCTAGCTAGCTAGCTAGCTACTGATTTGGCTGGAAAGCTGGGCCTGCTATATTCGAAACAAGGCCTTAAACACAGGAGTCTCTGCCAGGGTTAAAAAAAACACAGAACCGAAACCAAAAGCAGAAGCGATAAAAATATAATTAATTAATAAATACGCCGTCTATATACGTGTCCGTTTTCACGGCCAGATGTCGTCCCAAAAAAGCAACACTTAGTTATGAGTGCAACCACGGCATAGTGTTCACTTGACTCCATTGACTCCCTCTCTCTATAAGGAAACGCCGGGAACCACGGCAATGCGCACTGCGTCACCAACCATAACAAGACGCAGCAACAGCTGAGTGCATGGCGCGTTGAATTCTGGGATTTGTAGTTTCACTTCACATATCTTTGTCGCCAAAAATATCAAATTAATGTTCTATCTCTAGCAGGCGGAACTTACCAGGAGACGGCGGACCTACCTGGGGGAAACAGCAGCATGAAGATACACATATGGCTCCAGAATACGTCCTACTGCGGCAAGTAATCTATACGCTTTTTATTATTTATTTCTATAACGATAGTGATTACCAAAGCGGGTCATCACTGCTTTAAAAATGTATTCAACCATCCAGCAGTTGACTGCCGTTTTTGTGAGTCCTTTCAAAGACGGGTGGTGTGTAATAAATATAGATTTCAAGTTTGCTGTTTTGACCAATTTATTACAAGACATAAAAAAACCAAAGCATGGTTCAAATGCATAATTTTCATGTCATGATTATTGCATATTTCAGTTATGATGATTTACCTCTCTCGATATTCATTCTAAACATGTTTGGTGTTGCGCTTTAAGCTATAAACCACTTATTTGTTCATGTTATATGAGAGAATATTCCGTGTACATGTTTATGATCTTATTAGTACTAGTATTATAAAATACATAAAATCCTAATAGGAATGTCGCAAGAAAGATCGAAAAGGGGCGTTTCGCAATCAACTTAACTGCTGTCAGAACTTTGCATTCTGCGCAAGGTGGCATCATTATTTCCTTTAAAAGTTACTTTAAAAACTACAACTCCCCAAAGTCTCGTCTTTAGCATCCATGCGCCGCAGTCAATCAGCTGTTAAGGCAACTGCTGACTCTACCTCAGCAGAGGGGTAGCTCATTTGTCATATCTATACCCAGCCGAGGCAAACAGAAATAGCCTTATTTACAGAGTCCCAAAAGGTGAACGATAAAGGTAAATCCTGTTTACCGTGAAACGATAAAGACACACTGTGCATGGCAAAGACTTGTGCTTATTGTAAGAAGTCTGTTCCGTGCTGAATAAATCTTTATGCCTCTGAACATGTATAAATGGCTACTTAACAGTACATGTTTAAATATAAAGATGTTTTTCGTACGGGCGCAGATAAACGTACGCGTTAATATGTCGATCAAAACAAGCATTTAATTCGTATGTCTTAGTTAATTGCCACCCTCTATTGATTACTTTGATGACCTTGAATATGTAGCTCTTAGACAGCGAATGGAGAGAAAGATTAACTGGGGGTAGGCAAAACGCGTTGCAGTATTTCAGTTCTTGGCAACACATTGAAAAATATTGAAAATTATATAATAATCCACAGTATACTCAATAAAAGAATATGTTTGATCATATCGGTTGCGTGTTCAACGTTTATTTGAATAGGTGATCTCAACATATGGTACAATTATGTGCAATTAAAAAAAAATAAAACCTGGACTATGTTTAAACGTTTAAAAACTTGTCTCGCTGGTTCTATTTTAAACTGCAGCGTGTAATAATTTAAAAAGTCCTTTACTGCGTGTGGATAACCGTCCGCTTTGCTTACACACACCAGTGAAGTCTAATCGTTGGTTGTGCAATTTGTCCTCCATGAAGAAAATCTGAAATTTTGCGGTAAATACGCAGTGCTCTTTAAAACGATCGTTCCAGAAAGCGTATAAAACTGAATTTATGTAACGCTGACTGTTTTTCTCTCGACAGAATATTGAAAAATTTATTACGTCGGTCATAGACGAGGCATAGCTAAGACGCTGCAGTCCGTGCGTGTTGGAAAGTAAGTTAATGTTGTCAAAAGTAATATCTATGGATACGTGGTAGTTAAGGTGTTGTTTGGACCAGTGAATGATCCAGAAGGGCAAGGGAGTAGCTCAGCTAAAATAGCAATTTTGTGCACTACTGCAACGCGTATTAACATTGCAGAAACGTTCCGGCTGAGTACGCCATCTGTGTAACCAGGTTAGAACTCGCATGTAAGATATTTCGTTGTTTTTTTTGTATAGGCCGACAAGTGACATTATATGACAGGTCCAGTAAAGATATTATTCCTTTTATCACGCTGAAACTTTGTCATTAATTCTTAGTGCGCAAAATGGCAAACACTTAGAAATTGAATTCGCAGATATTGAAACTATCCGCCTTCGCTTCCAAGAGTGTAGCGAGTGTCACTCCGTATCGGGGGATAAAAACGATCTCGCATATGTGGCTGCTGCTGTGGTTTGTTTATTAAGGTATGATTATCGTCACGTTTTCAACGATATGATTTTTTTTTCTTGGGCCATTAAGGGGAAACTGGCCGCAGTCGTGACCACTGAATGTTGAATTAATTTTACATTATGTTTCCGGGAAAAGACGAGAATACATTTCACGAGGATTTACTTAAAGGTGTAGGTAGAGCTTGTATAACCTGTCCCTTTAAATTCTCGGAGTGTGAGATGGGTGGTGCGTCTCTTTAACCTTGCTGAAGGGCGCAGCTGTATTTATTGACGTATGTAAATTGACTTAGGGGTGGTCCTAGAAAAAAAACAGGAACAAGAATCAGTTTCACATAGCAGTCTGGAGTTCCGGTGAAACGGAAAAAGAGACGTGGCGAATATTGGTGAATATCTGTGTCCTCCAAGCACATCATCCATTCACATCTGAAGGGAACGGAGGCGTCTGGAAAGGGTGAAGCTGTTGCGTGTTTGTTTTAGCGGAAATGCCGTTAATGTTAATACTGCAGTCGTGAGAATTTCGGCTAAATGGGTTATTACGGATTAGCCTTCTATTCGGGCAGCCCCAGCAATAGCGGTTGGCAATAATAACCCCTCCCAGCGTTTCTCTGTGACCAAATACCATAACAGTCCGGCGAGTGTCTTTTATGAGAACCTCAAAAAATAACCAGTCTCTGTTTTTCCCCGTTTCAGCTCAGCAAACCATGCAGGATGATTTACTGATGGACAAAAGCAAAACCCAGCCTCACCACCAGCAACAAGACCCAGCAAACGTAGATCCCCCGTCCACTCCGACCCCTTCATCGGAACCCCCCGCATCGGAGGAGAGCCCTACGAGTGTGAGCAGTCAAGCAGCTCCCGTGCAGAACAACAAAGAGAAAGTGTCCATGGAGTCGCCGATCCTGCCCGGTTTGAGCTTTCAGCCGCAGGAACCCGGCGGCACCTCCTTATCCCCTTCTTTCGGTAGCACTTGGTCTACTGGGACCACGAACGCCGTGGACGATAGCTTTTTTCAAGGGATACCCTCGGTCAATGGGACAATGCTTTTCCAAAATTTCCCCCACCACGTCAACCCGGTCTTCGGTGGCAATTTCTCCCCGCAGATAGGCTTGGCACAGTCTCAGCATCAACAGCAGCAAGCCCAGCAGCAGCAGCAGCAGCCGCAACAGAGGAGGTCGCCCGTTAGTCCCAGTCAAGCCCCTTTCCCTCAGAGAAACGCGTACAGCCACCAGACCATCATGAACAGCAAAGCATCGTCGTCTTCTGCTTCATCGTCCGCTTGGAATAACCATCAGAACGCTGCTTGGAGCACCGCTTCTAACCCTTGGAGCGGACTCCAGGCAGGCAGGGACCCGCGGAGAGCGGTGGGGGTCGGAGTTGGGGTGGGGGTCGGTGTTGGGGTCCCATCACCCCTCAACCCTATCTCCCCGATGAAAAAGCCCTATGCCAGCAACGTTATTGCACCTCCGAAATTCCCAAGAGCAGGTCCCCTTACCCCGAAAACCTGGATGGAGGACAACGCCTTTAGGACGGATAACAGCAACAATATGCTACCCTTTCAGGTAATCTAGAAGTATGTAAATCGTAACGTATCCAGCAATTCATATTGGCAATGTAAGCAGTGTCATGAAATAGAGACAGGACTTTTCTGGAATTTGAGTTGTCAAATACGGCAGGTCTGATTAAGGAAGATCGTGTAGTTATAAATTACTGAACAGAATTCATGGAGCAATTGGTATAACTGTCCAAGAAGCATCTAGGCTACTGTATTGTGATCTGTGTATGATTTTACACATAGGCCTATTGAAAGTTAAACGGTAAAGCCTTTCTGTGTTTTTCGATTTTGAGCAGCCTTATTTTATAAATAATTACCACGAATCGTCAGCAAAGCAATTTTCGTCCTTCTCTTTTTCCACATGTCTACGCGTCAATCTCTTCTTAGCTTTATTATACTTTTGGTATATTATGCCATTTCATTGTATGTTTGCTAATGGATAGTCGATCTCCGGGTTATTTTTGTTTTTCCGATATTTTTCACTTATTGCGACGTATTTCTGTGGTGTAGGACGTGACCTTCAGAGCCATATTTCAATGGAGTCTCAGATCATCCACGTAAATGTATTCTGTCAAAATGCATTCTACGAATTTGCTTTGAATGTAGTCTGTTTTTTGATATTACTGGTACGTCCTAATAATTAGGTTTAGTTCCCCCAGTCATTCTAGGATTTTTGTCAGTTTTGTTTTCATTCGGTTGATATTTAGATTACATTATGTTTATACTTTTGAATACTTAATCTATCGTTATTGACGTCTTTATGATGACATTATTGTATAAAAAGGTTGTATATGTTTTGTATTCATATAACGCGTTTAAATTTGGGAAATGGTGTGTCGAATTGTTAAAAAGGTAGTAAGTATATGAATAATATCGGATTTCATTATAGTGACTTGCCACTTGGTACTAAATAGTTAAATTTTCTTCTCAATTTGCCAGCTCACACTAGGATGTTTAAAGGGCAAGGTTCTCGCATCTTATTGGTTGTTGTTGGAAAGGGGCGGTCCTTTCGCTCACTTGAGGTTTCCAGGACACTGGCGTATTGCCTGCTGTCACGACAAGAAACATCATAACGAAGTAACGATCGGTAATCTCTGCATTCTCTGGATCCCTCCGGTGTTCTAAAATTGGTGTCTTTTAAATGGTCGTTTTCAAATCTTTTTCATGTTACAACCTTTTTCCCCCACTAAAGTCTGACATATCTTTTAAAATGGAACTCCCATCCACAGACATGTGCAATTAAGTTCTGAACATTGATCTATATTATCTTTTGTCTTACACAGTTTTTATGATTTCTTTTTTTTCTCCCCTTTTTAGTACGTTTTTGCAATTGAATATTTTTTTGTGGGACATTGCAATGACTGTTCTGATGGAATCTGAATTTTATCATGAAGTCATTTCACAATTTAGCTTAAATACATTTTGATTGTTTTTAGTAGTTGGTGATTTTTTTTTTTCAGTTAAACATGCTTGATGGCCAAATTTAAAAAAAAAAAAAAAAAACCCTCCCATGCCTAACCTGTATATTTTCACTAAAATGTTTGTGCATTTGTTTCATGGGTGATATGTCTCATTCTATCATAACAAATGCAGTAGGTCATACTGTATCAGTGAGTCATACTGTATCAATGCATGTTGTAATGCAGATTTGTAGTGTAAGAAGGAAGCACAGTACTGCTAATGGGAGAGAATGACTGTGACAGCAGGGTGCAAAATTGTGCCCCACCTTGGTACCCACCCAAACCACACCTGCCGCAAGCCACACCCAACCATTATCACCCAGCTAATACCACACCCAGTCTGAAGGAGGTGGATTGTGCAGTTTGGGGCAGAAATGGATAGACACTGACCCATTTCTGGCCTACAGAAAAAATTTCAGACATGCCCGGAACATTGTAGGTGGGGTACAAATTTTTGCATGATCTTGTATGTAAATTGGGACACGCATTGTCTGGGTTGCCCTAGAACATCGCCATCAGCCCCATGCAGACTTTATGGAAGTGTTTGCTTATGGAGTACTACAGTACAGATGTAATTTAATGGGAAACTGCGGACTCTCTTAATGCACGACTCCCTTTAAGTGAACAGTGTCATCAAAAGCTTGGCTACGATTTCCCTTAAAAAGCTGTGTATCCAGCCCTCAGTACCCAGTTGTTTAATCCGTGGGCGTAAATGATGGGGGGATGGGGGGTTGTAACCACCCCAATAATCAAAACTGGGCAATACAACTCCTGCAATAATCATGCCCCCCCCCCCCCCCCCATGTTCAAGCCAAAGTTACACCCTTGGTTTAATCATCCTTACAGGTAACCTGTGCAGTCCTCTTCCATGATTCAGTATGTCCCATAGAGCTGGCCGTCTTTGTTACTGTAGATGTTTCCATTAGGATATTGATAGTGGATTTTTCTGGTGCAGAAGCTTTCCATCAAAAATGCTCTTCACATTCTGTGCTTGAGGTTTGTATGGGTAATGTTTATTTTAATTTCAGCATATTGAAAGAAATTTCAGTTGAGTATTATCTGTAAACTAGATCACACAATTGTCTTTTGAGAATAGTTGAAATTAAGTTTTTTTTTTGTGTGTGTGTGTAAAAGGTTTTTGTATGGACAAGCAGACTTTTCTGTACCTGCAAATTACTTAAGGGTTAGTACCAAATTATCCACCTCACTTGCGTGTTCTTAGGATTAATTGAAGTAATAATGTTTAGTTCTCTAATTGAAGCATTTTTTGGCCATTAGTAAATTATTGTTTAAAGGCTTAAAATATCTGCATTTTTAAGCAGTTTGCAAGTTTGCTCTGTTATGCCTTGATTTGATGGGAAAAGTTCAAATTTTATTCTGATGAAATAGATCTTGGTTTTTCTCCTCTCACTACCAGAAGCTAGTGAGTTGGCATTTATGGTATTATAGTATATAATAAATAATTTGTATTCGAACAAACGTCCTTCCATTCACAATAAGGCTTTTCCTGTATAAATGAAATGGTACCATAAGGTGCTGAAATGTATTGGGGGCTCAATGTGTGCCTGAAACTGAGTCGATGGCTTAGCGATGGTGAAATTCTAGCCTGGGTGAAACTGTATATGTCTAAGATAACTACATCCAGAGCCTCTTATCAGGAGGAACCAAGGTCAGGCAGCCCCATGCACAACGATCTGTGCTTACTGGAGTGAGGTGAAGGTAAAGAGAAGGAAAGCTGAGATGATGTATTACTGTTACAGGTTCTGTAGTGCTTTTCTCATCGATAGTTGGGTAGCGCTTTATAACTATATTTGCTACCCCTGGTTACATTTATCAAAAAAAAATTATACCAAAATTGGCCCATGTGTATTTTAGGTTTCTATTGCTCATTTATGTGAAAAGTTTTGCTTTATCAGTTTTTTTCCCTTTCAGCCATCTTTTTTTCCCCCCTTACTGGCAAGCAGAGTCAGAGTTCCCTGTAGTTGAAAGATGTGAACTGTTATGTAGAATCAAAGGCAGCTGCTGATTTGTGACTAATTGTGAGATTAAATGTCTATATTGTTAATGGGTGTTGTATCCTTTTTTAAGCACTCTTATTGATGCCTAAGTCAGCATTTGAGTTACTTTTGTGATGTAGCTTTGCCTGGAAACCAATTTTAAAGGGATGGGTTTTGAACCAGTTTTCGTTAAGTGTGCAGCCTGAGGTTGGTGAAAATCTGCTGTTTTTTTTCGTATTTTCAGTGTTCATTTGTCTGACATGCAGGAGACATTAATTCGGAATGTGCGTGTGCAGTGTGTCGGTTTATAGGTTGCATTACACACACTGTGACCTCTTTCATTTTGTAGGGGTAACATTTGACACAGTTGTACTCAAACCCCTGTGGAAAATTCCTGTTTGTGACTGAAGCATGCATGGTAATGGTTTTCAGTTTTGCCTGCCTCCTCATCCTTCTGCCTTTTGTCAGTGTCCTGCTATACATGCAGCGTAGCAAGGAGAGCGCCATCCCAAAGCAGCAAAATGAAGAGCTCAGCGTTTTAAATGTTCAACAGTTGTCCAAAGTGGGCAGATTTTTATCTGGGCGTCAGTGCCGGGCACAGAGAGGGGAATAACGCTTTTGAATGCTCAGCTGATTGCACTACAATAGCACCGGTGTGTGAACAATGTGGTTCCAGTAGTGGCCTCTGGATACAGCTGTCAGCCCCCTCTCGCCTTCCCGCTGCCACACTCTCTCCGTTGCGGCCTCGTTCTCTCCGTCCTCCTCTCATTCAACCTTTGCTTTGCACACTTTCCTACTGAAGTGTCTTCTGATGGTGCTTTTGAGCTTCTGGATGGTCTTGTTATTCATGGGTATGCTTGTATGATGATGTGATCTTATGTTGTTGATTTATGGTCCTAAATTGTTTATCTACAGAAATACGAGCATGAATAAAACCATAAAAACATTCATTGTAAAATAAATGCGAAAACCCCAGGGTGTTCTGAAATTCTGCCATATATATGGTATTATCACACTATATTTTTGTTTGTCCATTTTGCATTTTCCCAATATCTTTTTTTTTTTTTTTTTTTAGTAATTTTTAAATTTAATGGTCGCCTGGGAAAAAAAGCAAAATATTTTATTTTGTTAGTGGGAGGTTTAAAATTGTACATGGTGGACCAGCTAGAGTTAACTTGCTAATTTTATTTTTATTATGAGTGTGCTTGTTGTGAGACTAAAAAATAGCCATGACCACAACAAAATCAAGGTCATCAGGTTTCTTGAATGACTGAATGAGTAGCTCTTACCGACTATTGACAAAGTTGAGCTCCTGGGGCCTCTGTGGGAAGGAATAGGGGCTCAGTTGTTTTGACACTTTCCTGCTGCCTAATGGCTGTGAGGAAGCGTGTTTTCATTTTTCAGGTCCCAGTATCATGTGCTGCCTCATTTGGAAATCACATGACCACAAGTGGGGCCTTGCTGGCCTCTTCTGTAGCTGGGGTCGCTGTAAACTGGGACAGCATATCATGATTTGTCTTAGAAGTGGTTTGATGTTTCCATTCTGGAATATGAGATGTGAAACATATATAGCGTTAAATTGTATGATTGTCTTACTTAGTAGCTATTAAATGGGATCACTGAGCATCATAGTATTGAATGATGATGAATCAAGAGACTTTCTGACCCCTAATGCATTTTCTTTTTCTTTTTTGCAGGACCGGAATCGGCCCTTTGATGCGTTTAGCTTGCATTCTTTGGAGAATTCCTTAATGGATATGATAAGGACTGACCATGACAAAGGTAAACCGCATCCAGCTGGTGGCCCCCCAATGACTATCGCTGATATAATGTGGAGGAATCATTTTGCAGGTTAGGAATATTCATTAAGCCATGTTTTAATTTGGGTCTGGGCTTCATTATGAATCACCTGTGATTTGATTCTTTTTGTTGACACACATTTGCATTTTCCCCGAATATCTTATTTTGCAGTTTTAAAATAACTTCCCTCACCTGCAAAATTTTGCATATGTTTTTTTTTTTTTTTTTTTATCTGTGTGTCGTGTGTCTTTGCAGGCGTCTGTTTTTGTGCTTCTCTTAATGCAAATCTGTTAATTACATATTTTTGTCCTTGTCACAAACATTGAAATATTGCAGTGTTGGACTTGAAAAGAGACTACAAAGGCATCCATATGTAGGCCTCATTTTACATGCTTGTCAAATCTTACTGGTGGATATGGGTGCTGCTTTGTTTTAGGGTTTTGAAGTACTACTAGCATTCTGTCAGTTTCCATGATGGACATTAATATTGCCATTTTGTTTCTATATCAGAATTGATGAGGTCAGGAAATATTTGTTCTTTATAGATATCATACCCAAAATGTTCCTTATTTTTATGCCTAATCACCAGGGGCCCATGTATGGATTTCCCTGGGCTGAAGTGCCAGGGGCCTCTTCTAAAAAGGGGCCACAACTTCAGGGGTCATGACGTTTTAAACCTAGAGTTGCCAGCCGTCCTGTATTTTACAGGATTCCCCCTAAGATGTGAATCCTTTTTGGTCACAAGTCTGTTTCATCAGCTATCGTACCTGACCTGCAAAACGTCAAATAAGTCACAGTTGTCTCCGAACTTTGATCATTTGGCAGCATGCAGGCAAGTTACTGATCACCCTGAAAGCCTAGATGTGTGTAGTGGTAAGTTGTTATTGTCATTGTATATTTTAATATGAACATTTCAATATAAAAATAGGCAGTTTATTTTGTAATATAAATGAGTGTATATTTAGCATAGTCTCTTGTGTAATGTGCATACAGTCTGGAATATCCTGATTAATGCAAGAATGTAGAGAGCTGTAATGCTGAGAACCAGAAGCAGTTTTTTCCTTCCTGAAGCTCTCTTCATTCTTCTCAGATTTAAGCTTTTTTCCCCATTTGGTGTACACCAAGCATTTTTTTTCTTCTTCTCCATCTGGCCATGTTCTGAAGTCATTTATGATAAATGTTGGTTTACTTATTTTTTTAAATCGGATTTTTTTTGATAATTGATAACTGATGATTTGCTTATTTTATTATATATGTATATATAATTTACTGGGTAGAGCACACTTCTGGGTAGACTAGACTTCTGTTTATTTGGGCCTGCCAGGGTTTATATATGATACATTACATTTTTTTAAGTATTGTTTGGCTCAGATTTCTAACTGTTAATAAAGGTGAAAAAGCTACGTAGGTGGTTTTCAATCATTAAATTTAATAATAAATTAAATTTAAGAGCAAATCTCCCCCCCCCCCCCAAAAAAAAGCAAACAAATAAATTACAATTGTTAGAATGCATTATGTGCAAATTGGGATGGTCTCAGTTCTGTATCAGCAGTTAAGAAAGCCTGAATAAAAGAATGCATCAGTCTACCTCAGTACTGAAAACACTGTATTAGTGATGGGATTCAAACAAACTGAAATGTTACCTGAAAATTGACTAGTTATGGAAGAACACAACTTTATCTGCAAGTAGCTAAAGGATGATGATTTTAAAAAATTAATAATCTTTCTAGAAGTGAAGTAAGCTAAAGACAGATGTGACTGTTGTCATTTGTGTCTGGATGCATCTACACCCCATGAGTGTTTTGATGCACTTGCGTGATAGTGGGCAGAGTAGGTTGAACGGAGCTGCTGGCACCAACTGCTACCTGTTCAAACGATCCTCATTGACTAGCTTTGCATCAAGTTTAATGACAAGTCGAACATGTTCTAGTTTGCATCTAAGATCCTGCTTTCTGCATGTTATATTTATAAAATTACTCCCTGACAGTTAGACGACCAATTACCTGTACAAAGTCAGATTTTTGCCTTCAGTTAAGCTTTTAATTATAGGTTTAACATTTCTCAAAACAATTTTAATGTCTTGCATTATTTATATAATTTTATGAGTTTACCTGTACTCTGTCAGTCGTGCCGGTGAGGCTTTTGCCCTCTGCTCCAAGATTATCTACTTAAGCCAAAAGATATCGAGGTTTTTGAGTACGAAAGCCAGCAAGTTGTGGTCAAATTGAGAATATACCTGCTCACTCTCCATTTCACATTGTGCCTGATGGCCTTCTTTTAACTACAACTAATTTTACGTTTAAATTGTGGTCTCTTGGACCTCATTGCTTTTAGAGGGCAGTTGAGAATTGTATTTTTTTAAGAAGGCGCGGTATTTAACCTGGGCATGTTGCTTTGCTTGTGTAAGTTCTTGTCTTGTGTGCGTTTGTCTTTGAAAGACTGCCAGGCTCAGCCATAGGGCGTAGATTGGCAGAAACCTGAATCTCTTGAATGTTTTCTTTAGGTTGTAAATACAGTTGCCAGTACATATGGTGATTAATGCTTAATTGTCTTTTATTTGTAATCTGTGTAAATGGTACAGGCTGACACAAATGACTGTGCTTTCTTGTCTATCACTCATACTACACAGCTAATGCTATGTATGTTGATGACAAGTATAGCCTCAACATACTTGTTATATCAGCATTGAAATTTGTCCTCCTTTTGAGTTTTTGTCAATAAAATTAATGTTCTTCTATAAATGACCTCTAGATTTCCTCTGACTAATCTTATCTGAAGGAACCAAAATAAATCTCCCCTGCCACTCAAGAGCTAATACCTGTCAAGCTTTGAATGTTTTCAGAAATATTTTCTTTTTGTCATTGAGAACAGGTTAGTCTGTTCCAGCTTGTTCATTTTTATTTATTTATTTTTGACAACATGTGACGTAGGCTGTGTTGGTGGGGACAGATATTTGAGCTCATTGACACGGACAGCCGATGAACACACGGCCAACAGACAATGGAAACCAGACAGAACCAACCGTCCAAAGCCCTCCCTCGTTTATTTTTGTTTGGAGAAGCTTTAGTGATCGGGGTAGATGCCTGACGGTGTTCTGCCAGGGTGGAGTCCTCAGTTCTTCTTTGTGATCTTCTGTGATCATTCAATGCGCCTTAATCCATTTGGAATGGAATGCTGGTGGAATTTACGTTTTGTTTAGAATGCCAGGCGGAACAGAATAATGCTAGAACAAATGACCTCTTTTGAATCTGTGGAATGCAGCATGCCCCAGAATTTTAGTCATCTGAGAATTCATGTGGAGTACTGGATATTCTCCCCCGAAACTGTAAAATCTCCACTGCCACCAGCCACTATAAGCTAGCACTGTTTACACACCACCGATCGAACCCTGTACTAGTGCTTTGCAAACACACAAACTTGCATGGAGGTGGTTACACACTCCTCAAGGGTACACAGTTTATGGTGAAAGAAGCAACTTTGAGACCTTTCCGTTCTGTCTTAATCAGTATTTTGTTTAATCTGTAGGGAACCAATTGACCAACCAGTGGACTGAACATGTCTATGATTAATACCCCTAGGGTTTCTTCATGTTCACAACCTTTTGGTTTGTTTAAATACTTGACGCCGATGTTTTTGTTTTAAAAATAATTCTACTAATTTATTCTTTCCCTTCCTGTTGTCTCATTGTCTGGAATGGCAGGTGGTGACATTTTCTGTTGATTAGCAAAATTTTATCCATTTTTTAATTTATTTTTTTAAAGCCCAGTGACAGTTTGTAATGATTTAAAAAGGTCAGCTCATGTGCCGTGTCTGTTTAGTCGTTTTCTGATTGGCTGACTGAACACTGTCTGTCCTAAATACCATATCTTCTTTCTTCTGATCTGGGCCAAAGAACAACACACTTTTTTTTCTTTCTTTCTTGTACTGCTTAGCAGATAACAGCATAGTGTAACCTGTTGTGTGTGTGTGTGTGTGTGTGCCATTTCTTCTGGCATGAAGCAGTTGGGCCAAACTCAAGGACAAAACCGTGGAAGGAGAAGTTCGCATAAGCTTTCGTGAATGAGTGTTAAATAGTGACACGGGGGACAACGTGATTTGCTGAGGTTCTAGAAATATTGTGTGTCTGTGTTTTAAATGTCTTCAGGAGAAACCAGATTATGAAAAAAGGAAGAGAAACCCTCAGTACTGAAAGTTGGCCAAGTTTACTCAGTTTTCTTTTCGTCTCTGAGGTGTTGCTTCTTGGTGTCAATGTGAAGTTCTTGTGCTACATGTTGGCAGACCTGGGTTATAGCAGTGAGCCTGTGGGGTTTTTAAGAGAAGCAGAGCAGGAAAGCAGCCCAGAGTAGCTCTGATTTAGCCTTATTGCAGACCACTCCTCCAGTGCCACACTTTGAGTAGTCATGTTGAGTAGAAGTCAGGTGTTTGTACTTGTGATCTGGAGGTCAGCGGTTCAAGCGTCTGGGTCTGTGCTTGTGAAACCCAGCTGTTTGTATGTTGAGCCAGTAAATATTGCAACGTGTCTTTGGTTTCGTTAATGCAGAAAGAAACAGATGGTCGCTTGACTCTCCTTCAGTAAAAAGGCTGTTCATTTGAACTAAATATCAAGATTGAACTTGCATAGCCTTGACCATGACATCCATGAGCCAAGTCACTGTTTACTCATGTAGCCGTTGTAATTGTGGACATGCTGTCAGATTATTGTTGTTTGCTGCTCTGTGATGTGTTTTTGGTAAGAGCATCTGTGGTGTTGGTAATGTTAAAGTTAATGGCATCAAGTCATCCGTTTTAACCATGCAAGGTTAATATAGTACAGATACTCCTTTCATAAACTCAAGGGACATGTAATCAGACAGTCCTATTTCTGCTTTGTTTTTATTTTTCTGTACTGTATGAGGAATTTGTAGCACAACAATGACCTTTCTGATCCCTCTTAATTATAAAATGGTTCCCTGAACACCTGCTGAAGTTAGCATTTAATAATCACTCAGGTGATGGACTTGTTCAATGGCCTCATTAGCTCTGAGGATAAATCAGAACTGAAGGAACAGGACAGCTTGGCTTTGTGTCTCTTGAACTTAGGAGGAGCTTTCAAATTCAGGTCTATATTAACTGTGCACTTTGACCTGATCACAAATCATAAACCTCCCCCACCCATCTGACAGCTGGTGGTGTTCTTCAGGGAACACCAGTGACTTGAGTTAAGAAATAGTGTGTGGGGGGGGGGTGCTCAAATAGACACTGAATCTAAAATGAATGTTGGCATAGGCAGACTATGGAATGTTGTTGAGGGACTTTAGCATGGTGTTTATAATGGGAGATGGCAGGATTCATAAGAATAGAACTGAAGTTTGGGTTAAAGAGGTGAATGGAAATAGCGCTGAAGTATTTCTAATTTTATTAGCTACTTATTTTATTTTGTTTTTAAGCATTTGATAGAAACTAAATGTCATAGGAAAATGTAAAGGCTATTTGCAGAGCCCAGATTTTTATTGGAATCCCCACATGCCCCCAACATGTCGTCCAACCTCTCAATGCTCTTTAGGTACTAAGAATGTCCTTATTGGCATCTGTCAAAGTACACCGGAGATCAGGCTGTGGTAGTGTCAGTAATGATCTTGGGTATGAAACTTCCTCATACTCAACTGAGATCCCGTGCCATTGTTTCTGCATTATGTGTCACCTGGAATTTCAATGTAGGTGTCAGGTTTGGAGTGTGCTTAGCTTCACACTTTGAAACAGACATTTTTACACCTCTGATCTTCAGATCCGGGGTCCATTGTGCTTAATTCCAGACCTCTTCCTAAGCATCTGAGCCCCTAAGCATCTTATTCTACACCTATGATCGGCAACTGGTCGATCGGCAAAATAAGATCTGAAAGCTTGCCAGAGTGTTTTCTTTGTAAAAGTAGCTCTCACTATAAAAAAATAAAAATCAAAAATTGTTGGAGACCACTGTTCTACACCCCCTAATTTTGACATAGTAAGAGCTCTGGTAATAGATTACTTTGATTCACAGTTCAGAGCTGATTTATAGTTCCAGATGATCATAGAATCTTACCCCAGAAGAACTGCGGCACTCTGAGGGTAGATCACTGACGCAGTACTGCATCGCTGTTTCGATGGGCCAGATGGTGAGGCACACTTGCCTGTTGCTATTTTTGGGAGGTTAAAGGGAATGGTCCCTTAAACCTGAAATTGTCTGTAGCAAGATTTGAGAGCAGTGGAACGGCCCAACTTCAGAGGGCTGAAGGGAGGCGTCTCTTCTTATCTGGCTGATTAATATTCTACCAAGTTAAACCTGAATCAGGCTTTGCAGATTTGACTTTGTATGCAAAATGAGCTTTTGCGTTTTTGGAAAATCTAGGCAAATTTAACATTGCTGATATTATTTCTTAAACTATCCATTGGTTTTCTGCCAGATTAAACATCTGTTAATATAATGTTTGCATAAAAGTATCTAAAGTGAACTCGGAACAAGTGCATCGTTTGTGGTCGACCCTCAGGCAGTAATGTACCTTTGTGATTCTTTCATTTTGTACAGAGGATGGCGACAGGGACAAGGAGTTCCGTTGTAGGATGTGCATAAAAATCTAAAGCCTGTTTGACAGCCCTACATGTCTGTTCAGCACTGAGAATTGTGGGTAGTGCCTCACTGAATTTTTTTTTTTTTTCTTTTAACTTTCCACATGCTCTTGGTTTGTGGTTTTCCCACACTAATCCCATCCTTATAGAAAATGGAAAGTTAAAGCATGGAAGTACAGTGCCCCCCTCCAGTTTGCTGGCTGACTGTCAATGTACTTCAATTTGATCTGAACGTCATGCTGACATCCATTGTAATGATTGTAACATGTTCACTGAGACATATAGCGATGCTCACTTTCAAACGGAATTTCCCGGGACTTGTCAGGATTGGAAAACCAGGCACTCGATGGAGAAACTGGAGGAAGAGAGAGCGAAGAAATGAATTATGAATTGCGTGTGCATGCAAGCTGCTTGCCTGTCAGTGCGTCTCACCTCAGCTTTGTGTTATCTAGTCCTCTAAGAGAGCATATCTGGTCGTCTTTATCTGTTAAAAGAAGCACCCAGCTGTCACTTTATTTAATAAAATAAATATAACAGTAGCTGAGCATTTCATTTCTGTATCATCATACTGTGAAAGTGTTTAAATCCTGATAACTCGCTCTTACAACTTGTCACTTCTGTTTCTCGCATTAAAAGTTTATATATAGATGTCTATGCAAGTTGTAAATCAAGATTACTACTCTGCTGTTAGTTTTTAATGTGCCAGGAATTGTGTAGAAAGAGGACTCCTCTTGCACCAATAAGAAAATGGGTAATGGGTGGTAAATGTTTACCCAGATTGTGAAAGTAAAGGAAATTATTTCCTTTAATGCCTTCAAATCTTTAAAATTTGAGCCTCCCTTATTAACATCAAATGTGTGTGATTAATATGGTTGTCTTCATTTTAGCAGTGATATATATGAAACATAGTGTGTGTGTATATATAATAAAAGACATAAATTCTAGGGAAATTACCAGCCTTCATTGGAGCTGTGTGACCTGGTTAAAGTCATTCTCAAGCTCTGTTGAATTTTGTTGCCAAGCTAAACAGTCAGTTCTTCAAATTTGGGATGTCAGAATGGTGGCCCTTTCGCGCATGTTTGCGTTGCTAATGAAAGACAGAATTTGTGTTTTGGGTTTAGGCCATGTGACTCTTGTCCTGTCCAACCCCAAGCAAATATGACAGAATCCTGGATGGTTCAGCTGGCCTCCCTTTGTGGGGGGGTGGGGGGTGCTCACTTAAACAGAGAGGGCCCTGGAGGGACACAGATGTAAACAGCTCGAATGAAAAAAAACACACCTGAACTGTCCTCTTAGTAACCAGCAGTGAACATCACATGAACACATTGGAGCCTGTATTTGTGAGAGATGAACTTGTCTCTTGTCCTCTCCCACACTGCTTTATTCCTTCCTTGTTTGTGTACAAAAGCCAAGTTCAGTTAAGTTTGTCTGTTTTGGTACAATACCAGGAAATTCTTTCAGTGGTCATGTGACTTTCCCTCCACCCTCCCTTGGGTGTCCATACTAAGATGCATACATAGATTGTTCATAAACAATAGGAATTCTGCTTCTTGCTGAGGTTGCTTGCTTTTGTTAGCTTTTGATATGTTTCTGTAATAACCAGTTAAGATTCTGTAATTTGTTTTTTAAAAAACCTCTTTTATAAAAGTATAAATTGTATCTATTGCTAATGTATCCTTGATGTGTGTTTACAGGGCGCATGAGTCTTAATTTTCACCACCCGGGAGCAGATCATATAATGGCACTCAATAGTGAGTATTGCATACTTGTTTACTGTTCCCTTTTTGACTGTATATATACTGCATCTCAACATTTTATACCATTTTAAACCAATTTATATTATTAGCCTAATGGTAGGGTGTTTATTGATTTTATTCTAAAGGGAAAGGTGAAATCAAGGTGTTTTTATTCTGCGTAGTTCAGAATGTACTGGTATATTGAATTAACACATACACAGGTCAGCCATAACATTAAAACCACTGACAGATGAGGTGAATAACGTTCTTGTTACTTTGACACCTGTCAAGGGTGCCATCATATATTGGGGAAGTGGACAGTCAGTTCTTGAAGTTGATGTTTTGGAAACAAGAAAAATGGGTAATAGGAAGGATTTGAGCGACTCTGACAAGGGCCAAATTGTGATGGCTAGACGACTGGGTCAGAGCATCTCTAAAATGGTGTGTTCCCAGTATTCAATGGTCAGTATCTACAAAAGTGGTCCAAGGAAGGACAACCGGTGTACTGGTGATGGGTTCATGGGTGCCAAAGACTCAGTGATGTGCATGGGGAGCAAAGGCCAGCCTGTCTGGCCCGATCTCACAGGAGAGCTGCTAAAGCACAGATCTCTGAACAAACTAATGCTGGCTGTGATGGAAAGATGTCACAGCACACAGTGCATCGCAGCTTGATGCGTATGGAGCTGCGTAGCTCAAACTGGTACGAGTGCCCATGCTGACCCCTGTCCACCACCAAAAGCTCTTAAAATGGGTATGTGAGTGACAGAACTGGGCCATGCAGCAATGGAAGATGGAGGTCTGTTTTGAGTCACTTAGTCTGTTGCATCATTTGGATGGCTGCGCGTGTGTGCGTCATTTACCTCGGGGAAAAGATGGCACATGGATGCAATATGGGAAGAAGTCAAGCCGACAGAGGCAGTGTAATACTCTGCTAGGAAACCTTAGGTTCTGACATTCATGCAGATGTTATTTTGACACATGCCACCTACTTGAACATTGTTGCAGAACAATTACCCCCCTTCAGGGCAATGGTATTCCATGCCAGCAGTGATCTTTCAGCAGAGTAATATGCCCTGCCACACTGCAAAAATTGTTCAGGAATGGTTTGTGGAACATGGAGAAGATTTCAGGGTGTTGACCTGACCTTCAAAGTTCCCAGATCTCAACCTGATCGAGCATCTGTGAGATGTGCTGGACAAACAAGTCTGATCCAAGGAGGCTCCACCTCGCAACTTACAGGATTTAAAGGATCTGCTGCTAACGTCTTGGTGCCAGATACCACAGGACACCTTGTCTTGTGGTGTCCGTGCCTCAACTGATCAGAGCTGTTTTGGCGACATGAGGGGGACTTACACAATATTAGGCAGGTGGTTTTAATGTTATGGCTCATTGGTGTATAGTTGAATATTCTCAAGGCAGTTAAGCTGCATGTATGCTGGGGTATGAAACCCATTGACCCTTCCTCAGCTAAACCAGAAACTGAAACATGTAATTACTAATTCAGGTCCTGAAACCCTAAATATTTAACTGCTTTCAAGACGGAACAAGAGATCAGTAGAGGGTCCGGTGCCCCTGAAACTACTCTAGTTTTGCTGCCTCTCAGAGCCAGCAAGATGGTGGTGTGTGAATTCTGTGAGAGTTCAAAACATTAACTTAATCCGTTTGTTGGACTAAGTAGCTTTGACACAGGAAAGGCCCATCCAGCTCGGGCTGAAAACGAACAATTCCCTGTGACACTGTTACAAGAGTAAAAGGATACATTCACCCCTTTCTTGTGGGCTGGGTTTGCCTTGTGAACCGACTTAGAAGATGACCTGCTGATAATATTTGCTTGGGAGGAGGATGGATAGGTTGGATAAAGGTGACGGAATACTGTTACATTTGACACAATTATTTCATTCTGTTAAGAATCTCACAAAGGTCTATCATCTGAAATGTCCACATTTTGGAGACGTTTCCTCCATCCGTGCCGGAATTTTCCTCAGAACTGTAATTTGCGGTGAGGAAAAGGTCATATGAGCTGAATCGCAGCCAGACCTGGGAGGACCGATCCCAGTCTGCATGGCGACCACTAAAACCCCAGCAAAGGCCGCCCGAGGTCGGGAAGTCTCAGTCTGCATCGCACTCGTCTGCCGGGCTGCTCTCTCTCAGGAAGTGGTATCTGGGTCAGAAACGTGAGTGGGCTTAAAATTTCCTCTTTGGTGGCAAAGTCTGTGGTGCTGGCAGAGAGAGACATTCTTCTGACTATTTGACCACCCCTCCCCTCCAGAGCTCCTCTTCCTGTCATATTGGTTTCTCCAAGGATGTCATTCACTTTAATTGGTGCGTCTTCTGTGCCACACTAATTATTAGGCGCACAATAAAAGTGGACACGAGCAATCTAGGATGATTTTATGTCCTAAAGTTGGATTTGTGTGTTGGTTTGGTGGTTCCTTTAGTACCATGGGGGGTAAAAGCTCTACATCTCTCTCCAATCTGAGTATGTAATAGAGGATAGTGATCTTTCACAGGGAACCCAACACTTTGGGTAGCTAAATAAATTTGAATTCCCCGCACCCTTTCCCCCTGATGCATTGCATTTTATGCAGTAACAAGAAAGAATGGTCCTTAATTAATACCAAGGTGCTCCTGTTATTGAAGGGCCTGTCATCACTCTCCTTGCCGCATCGATTAATAAAGGAGCAATCCTTAAACATGACAGGTGCTAAGTGAATATCGTTCTCACAGCAAGAACTAAATATTGGCTCCGTTTTCACATCAGCTGGATACATATTCCCTGATACTGTGGGAAGCCTTACATCGCCGATGCAGTAGCATTTGAAGTTTGTAGTTTTATACATTCACATTTTGCGAGGATGAAAATGAAACTTGCAAGGAGCTGCGCATTCATGCAGTCTTCTGCAGATGTGTTTGAAATGCTGTGACACTTGTTTTTCCTTTAGAATTTGTACCAGATTGAATACTTGAAAGGCTTTATGTGATTCAGTTCTGTTGAGTGAGGGTATCCATTTATATGCGCGAGTTGCGCTGTTAAACACCCACGGGGAAATTGCCTTATTTTATCTCTGCAGGTGCAGAAGTACGAATCATGGTTGGTTCTTTTAACTGGGTCCAGTAGCTCTAATTGAATGCAGTGCAAAGTAGATATAAAAAATCTTATTCATTTAGCTAAACTTGTTTGGTATAACTCCTGTGCTATGAGATGGTATTTTCAAGAAGAGCTTAGGGATGTTTCTGGGATTTAGATAAAGAAATGATATCTTTGGTTTTAGCTCTTGAACTTGGATATGGTGAGTCTAATGCTGTTGGCCCCTTGTAACATCTATGACACTCTTGTCTGTGAGGTGAGCAAGTGTCAAAGTGGTGTTCTTAGAACATGAATATTTTTGTGTTTTAGAAACTTATTAGATGAAATCCTGATGCTTTTGCCTAAACCCTTGACTAATACAGTTGGCTTGGACTGCGGTCGTTCATTTGTACGGGGAAGCATCATAGGCCTGACTAACATGTCTAAATTGCGATGGTCTCCAGTGTGTTTTCACACGAGCAGCACTAAGGCTGATCGGCATTCTTCGCCTGGTTGCTAGGCATTCTGCTCTGTTCCCCATGACCTCTAACAGACGTGTCTGCCCTTCCACATCGAAGGACAAGATCCACAGGAGCTCTTTGAATTAAAAGAAGACTAGTGGCCAAAAACGATCCATCTCTCAAGTTGAAGACCATCACAATGGGTTCCTTTGCAATAGATTTGCTAAATACTGAAAATGTTACATTGAGTTATTGTTGCTCAGTTGGCAAGGGATTAAGGGAGTGTTACTAAGTTCTTTACTATTTTGAACGTCTCATTTTGTGTAGAACAGGAGTAGGCGACCCTGATCCTGGAGTGCTGGTATCCAGCAGGTTTTTCCATCCTGCTTAGTCTCTGATGAACCACACTTGATCTCAGGCAGATAGGAACTCATCTGGTAGGATAGAAAACCTGCTGGATTCCAGCACTGCAGGATCTGAGTTGCCTACCCCTGGTATAAAGTGTGACTGGTTTTTCCAAGAATTAAGCTGTAGGCTTCCCTAGTAAACACGGCTGTTAGTTTGGCCTTTGTCAGCAGTACTGGTCCAAGCTGATGTGACTCCCTAGGCGAGTATCTCCACTGCCCCCCCCCCCCCCCCCCCCCCCCC